ATGGCCTCGGCCCTGAGCACTGCCTCGGGTACGTGTGTTGATCGATTGATGTACTTCTGCCACGAGAGACATTAGGTACAAGCTTCTCGAGTCGATTCAAACCAACACTGCCCGTCGCTCCTCGAGTCGCACCGACTCGAGCGCATCGTGCTACCCCTCGGCGGGTTCGTCTTCTTCCCGACCGCGCACGCCGACCAGACGCGCGTTGTCTTTACCGCGGGGCTCTTTCAGCCGCCGGCGACGTTGCGCCGAACCGCGAACCGCCGGCTGCTGCTCTTGCTGGCGGCTGCGCTCCCGCGACTCCAGCACGCAGTGAACGCTACGCGGCTCGGCGCAGCGTTGGCGTCGCGTGTGCCGTGGGTGCCGGACGCCGCCGAGACGACGTGCAAACTCTGCGCGCGCTTCTTCTCGCACGTGCGCCGCAAGCACCACTGCCGTGCGTGCGGCCACCTCATCTGCAAGCAGTGCTCTGTGTTTCAAGACCTCGCGCTGCCGTCGACGGGGCTCACGACGATCCGCGTGTGTGCAACGTGCGCCGCGCCACCGCCAACAACATCCGCACCGCGTCCGAGGGCCAAGACGACGCCGCCCCCGCTCGTGCTGGAGCTAGAGACACCCAAGAAAGGCGGCAGTGGCGTCGTCGAGCGCCGGTACTTTGGCAAGCACGGCATTCACCTCCAGAGTCCGACGACAACCCAGCCGAGTCCGACGCCACCGCAGAGTCCGATCACGTTCCTGTCCACGCCGACCCGGCTCAAGACGCTGCCGTCGAGCCGTCCGGACCGCACGGCAACGCTGCAGGCGCTTTGCGACCTCGCGAGCACGACGCTCCAGTGCAAGTTTGCCGGCTTGTCGCTGCGGCATGGCGCCGTGCTCCAGCACTACCTCAAGGTCAACATGAAGGGCAAGCTCCTCTCGGTGCCGAGTCAAATGGGCATTTGCAGCCCGATCCTGAGCGTCGGTAACCCGCTCATCGTGCTCGACACCAAGACGGAAGGCGGGCCCATCGAGTGGGCCAAGCTGCCGATCGTGGCCGGGCCCCAGCGGGCGCGGTTCTACGCCGGCGCACCGCTCGTCGCGGGCAATGGGGATGTGATTGGCGCCATCTGCGTCTTTGACCCTGCGCCGCGGACCTCGATTCCGCCCAACCAGCGGCGCATCATGCAAAACCTCGCCGAGCTCACGCTTGCGTCGCTCGACCCCAAGCAGGTGCGCGTCGACGCGCGAACGGAAGACTCGAGCGACCTCGAGGCGCAGCTGTGGCAGATGTTGCTGAAAGCACACAACACGCAGCGCCAAGTCGTCGAACACAACCAGGCGAACGACGCACACGCGTCACCGGCCATCCTCGGCGTCTAAGTGTATCGAAGCATTACTGGTTGAATACTAACTACATGGTCTGCATTGTACGACGACGTTGCAGGATCGCTTCTGAGGGCATCAGTGCGACGGACTTGCGCACTTCACGAAGCACGGGAATGTATCGGAATATACGCGGCGAGCGAAAATTCGGTGGGATTTTGCACCGCGTGTCGCCGCAGCCCATTGCGATACTCCAATATACATCCACTTACACCATTGATTCCAGTCCACGTCTGCAATAGTTCGCCGTCGGAAACCGATTGCAGATAACATTGGACTTGAATAAACTATGGTACTCTTGGTTGCGACTTGGTGGCAGCTTGCAACAAAAGAGTATATGCGTACTTACCTCAAATTCAACCAACTTGCCGCTTGAATGCGATTGCAGAAGAGTACGAAGACTACAGCGACGATAGCGCGTTGGCCCGGAAAAGTCTGCGCACCGCAGCACAGCCAAGTCGAGCGTTGATAATTGTCTAGGCCAACGCGCCTTCGTCGCAGATACCGCCGGTAGACAACGCCCCGACTTTGAGAGTAGAGTTCGTACCAGCTCACCCTGGAAAGGACCTGTCATACATTTGTATCGTCGATTATGTCAAGTACCGGTGCGTAGATAGATGGCCCGATGGACTCCTTTCTGTAACGCTAATGCCACCACGGTGACGACTAGTGCATGGCCGCATTCATCGTCTTGCCAAGCTCAAGTCGTGGTTTTGACTTTTGGGGGACGCAAACCCAATGCGATAGAATAGCATAGACAGCGGTCTCCTAACTAATGGATAAATGTTGCATAATGGGGGACCGGAACCGGCGGGGAAAATTAATGTGATCTAATTGGTCGATTGTTTTGTGGCGGGACCTGTTTGTTGCGCCCAGCCATCAATTCCAACCGAGATCTTAGTGACCGGAGATGGCCGTAGCGTTACCGGGCTTGTACGATTAAAACATGGAGGTATGTTGTCATTTTGAAATGGAGGAAGGCGGCACAACTCTACACTGGCACAAAGACGGTTGCGTTGAAGCAACGTGTCGCTGTGGCAAGTCCGTTGCCCTCCTCATCGACTGGCTTACAGCCGACGCCGGCGACGGCGTCCCGAACTAGACGCGATGGAAGCGCGGCAGCAAGAAGAAGGACGGCAAGAACAAGCTCGGGATTGCGGGCGAGATCTCCTCCGACCTCGCAAAGCACGGCCTCGACCGAAGCGACAATTCCGTTAAGGCCAAGATTGAAGCGTTGGAGACCAAGTGCAGAAAGGTGGTCGACAAGTACGACCGAACCGACAGCGGCATCGAAGAAGGGGGGACCATTCTAGTACGTCACTCTTGTAGTACATGGTGATCAAGACTAACGCCGAGCTTGCTAGGATGATGTACTTCAATTATGCCGCCACTATACAGAAATCAAGTGCGTTTTCGGCGGGCGTCCTTCCGCCTGCTGTTGTACAAGCGAGGTCCAAGATACCGGTTGAGCGCCACGTCGACGTACGTCGATGCCATTGCGGTCGAAACGGCCATGGCAGTCACGAGACCAATGATGAAGTTCTCGTCCGCTTCGTTGCGTCGTTGTTCTGCCGCGTCCTCGTCGTCGTCGTCGTCGAGGGGTCCGGGCTGGGCTTCGAGAGTGCTTTGCGCAAGGCGCATGTTTTCGGTGATGCGCCACATGCAGTCGGCCAAGGGCAGCTCGTAGAGGATGGCTTGTCGTTCGGACGTTCGGGGCATCGAGAAGGCGCGAAGCGAGATAAAAACTGAGAGGTAAAAAGCAGATTGCAGCATTGAAACCCCCCAAAACGACCAACGCCGGGGCGGCGTTGGCCATTCAGAAAATCGACGCTGATTGGCTAAAATTAAATCCCGGTGAACAAGCCCGGTATCACCAATTTGAACATTGAGTCCCATTGTCAAACGGTCTATGCGTGACCAGGTAGACGAATACATTGTGAGCTATGAGGTATTAGGTAGATAGGTCGGTCGGCAAGCGTCGCTCAGTGTGCACGTCGCCGACAACGCAAGGTAAGAAATCGACTAGAAGCAAACTGTCATATTGTGCACAAAAATGAGGTATACGCATAAATACTGCTAGGGACATGTCTCGATCAGCTTGCGTCAATCGCGCGGCCTGTCGGCTTGCGCAGCGCCTTGATGGACGCCGACGACGGCAGCGAGAGCCGCGGGCCCTTGCCCTTCGGTGGCGTCGACGGCCCCGATTGGTTGCTGCTCCCAATGTCCATTTCCGGTCGGGCCTCGCGCTTGGTCACTTGACGGCCGGCCGCACCGAGCTCGCACTGGTTGACTTGGGTCGCGAACCGGAGCGAGCAGAGCGACTCGTCAATGCTGGCGTCCGTCGGACTCAAATTGACCATCATGAGCGTCTTGCCGTCGCCCGAGAGGGCGGGCTGCAGCACATACGTGAGCTTGCTGTTGCGGTACGGAATGTGGTTTTGCTTCTTGGCGATCGCACTAAAGACGTCGGCGAGCGAGCTCAGACTCTTGTTGATCGCTTGGGCTTCCTTGAGCCGGTCGCCGGTTGCCCCCGAGCGCGAGAGCCGCTCGCTCCCCGCGAGGTCCACGAGACTGAGGCTGCCGAGGAGCTCGACTTCGCTGCCGTCGTCGTCACGCTTGCTGCCGCGCAAGTGCAGCGTAAAGATCGAATGCGACCGCGACGACTCGGCGTTCATGTCGGTCTTCTCCACCGACCGGTTGCACGCCGCACGCTCCATAATGTCCTCAATCTGGTCGAGCCCGCGGCCGTTTGTGAGCGAAATTGGGTACCGAAGGAGACCGTCGACGTAATTTTT